CAGACAATAGTTGCCAACCACTCACATTCTGAACAAGGTGCAGGACTACTATGTGGGACTTGCAGAGGAGTGCTCCCTTAACCTCTCACTTACCTTGAAGGTATAACAGAGTTGAAGTGGAGGCCGACGAGACTGCTGTGGATTAAGAAGGGTTTCTGCAGAAGGAGTTGTAGGCGTTCTAAGAGGCCCCTCCTGTGCAGCCCCCAGAGGGAGGGCGAAGGGGGCTTTTCTCTCACCTGTAGTCTGGAGGGACCTCAGGCAGACCTCTCAGAGAGCTCAGGATGTATCCCCTGCAGAGTAAGGAACACCATGAACTGGTGTCTGGCTCATGCCTGAGAAATCTAAAGGGCCAGAGTTGGCAAAAGTGGCTTGAACACAGGGTAGGGACTATGATGGGGGAAGTAATTTACTCCCACGGGAGACGAGTCTAAGAGAGTGAGACAGACAGTGTGGGCTTGACTTTGATCCTGCCCAAGAGGGCTGCTTGGAAAGGCAGAGACCTCAGCAGAAAGAAGCCTGAGGTTTGCCTCTGGATGCAGGGCCCAGGGGGAAAAATCTAAGTAACCAGTCGGAGGCAAAACGAACTTGCCTGTGCCAAGGAAACGGGTGGTGAGAGACTCCCCAGAGTGGTGGTGATGAGGGTGGTTCTGACAAACCCATGAAAGTGTCCTTGAGAGACAGTGTCCTTTCCATGGCCAGAGGAAGCTACACTGGCTAGAGCCCCCCAAGGCCTTCCTGCCTCCTTAGCTCTCTGTCTTCCTCACTTTAACCCTGGAGGAGTTGGGCAGCCTAGTGAGTGTGGGAAGAGGGGAGAATCACCAGGCTGGGAGAAATACACAGGGAGCTGACCATTACTCCCCTTTGCCTCTGAAGTATGGAGGGTTTTATTGTTATGTTGTATCAGATGTATTAATGACTGATGTAAGACTGTATTTTTGACTAAAAGTAACCAGGTCTTTTTATTATTTGAGAGTGACCCAAAAAGTCACAGGGCCTATGCATCAATTCATCTAAGGGGCAGGAAAACAACTAGCCCCCTAGAGCAGGTTGGAACGGGCATGATGGAGGAGAATAAAGCTGTTTTCCCATTAGGCCATGAGTCCTGCTGGGTCAGAATATGAGTGATACATTCAAATATAATGCACTCCATGTTATACCTTAAAACCTCTGAGGATGTCTCATTCTGGCATCTTACCTGATTTACAAATAAGTGAGATATACCAAGAATCCCTCTTCATATGTATATAAATTATAACTTAAGCTTTCCAACAAGAAAGTCAGAAGTCAAGATACTGGATTAAAAGACCCCGATACACCTAAATGTTGGTTTAACCTGCTATTAAATAGCTGGCTGTGGTGGTTTCCTCATCTCTAAAGGGCTGGGATTAAATAAAAGGTCTCTTTCAGTCAGAAAATTCTGTTTTGAAAAGGCTACAGCCACATACAGCATGTCGTAGATCAAGGACCTATTAATTCTTTTTTTTTTTTTTTTCTGTGAGGAAGATCAGCCCTGAGCTAACATCCATGCCAATCCTCCTCTTTTTGCTGAGGAAGATTGGCCCTGGGCTAACATCTGTGCCCATCTTCC